TAATCTTCCTGACAATTCTAACAGCTGAAAAAGAAAAGTTGCATGAACATTGATATAATAATAAAAGGAGTTAGAAAAAAAAAACAAAAAGAGAAATATGGTCTCTTCGACACCTTCAAGAATGGGTTCGTCTATAGTAACGTGTTCAATCCCAATATGAAGGTGCCCAGTGAAGTTGTGCAGATGATACTTCGTCGCAACCACGCGTTTGGCAAGTTTTTTGTTGCTTTCACGAAGCAGTTTTAAGGCTGATCCACATACAAACCAATCTGGAAATGGAGGACACAAGGCCACTCCAAATTCTGCAGAAGGAAGTGGAGGGAATTTTGGAGGAAAGGTTGTGAATGCAAAGTCGTAGTGTGCATGTGGTGGAAGGGATGAAGGAAACCACAATTGGTCTAATTTCTCTGTGAGTTTGAATTTTAAAGATCTTGCTGCTTCAGCTATGGTTCGACGAAGATCATCAGGCCTGTAAATAGTTTCAAAATACTTTTGAAACTTTTGAATTTCTTTTATATGTTGGTCTGTACCTTTTTTCTTTTTGTCCTGCACAAAGGAAAAAGCATTTGTCAGAAGAGCAGTGAAAGTTGCTACGTCGAAAAAGTTGTTGATGTAGTATTCCTTCCACCAAACGTCGAACTCTGCAGTGCAGAGGAAGTTTGGTACAAAGATGGTGGGATAGACCTCCAGAGTTGGGTCGAAATATTTGTTGTACAGTTCTAAGCTCTTGTCGAAATGGTGAAATGAGTTGTAGAAAATGATAGCACCTTTCTTGTGGTAGATGGGCTTTGTCTTCGTCTGGATTAATCCAAACTGCCTGGCTACCAGATTGGGTTGATATACAATGAGAGATACCTTTGTATTGTTGAGGCTATGATGAGAAAAGAAGTGTCTGGGCATAAGAAAAGCTTCCCAAATGGAGATGTAGGAGTCTTCATCTTTCTGGTCCTCCACTGGGAGTCTTCTGGTGAACCATCTTGGACCTACTTGTCTATTGGCGAAGGGTGCCATTGAAGGAGAAAATTTATAGCGTTTTGCGAACATCATGATGTAGCCAGTAAATGCTTGTCGAAGGCTTACATTCTCATCAGTGGGGGTCAGTTGAACCAGCCTAGGCCATTCGACACGCCTTTCTTTGACTGTTTCTTCGACAACAGGCATTTTGTTAGGGATGAAGTTTTCAAAAGTGGCATTCAGCCATAGTTGTAGAAGCCAAAAGGGGCCTGTGAGACTGATGTTACCCTTTTCTTTGAGGGATTTGAGATTGCTGACACTTTCACTTAGAGATTCATAAAGGTTTGCTAGAAGCAACTCACTCAGGCAGAATGCAACTCCATTATGAAGCTGATTAGCCATAATGATGAAACTTCTAGCCACCTGAAGGGACCTTGTACAAAAGACAAATTTGGACAACCATAGGCTGAGAAAGGCAATGTGCTCTTCATCAGAGACTTCTTCATGACTTTCGCCTTGGTGATGGGCTATAAAAACAGAATACCCAGCATGCTTGGTGTCGAAGCCTATGGGATCCTTGTTCAGATGTTCAGGGTTAAATATTTCCCCTAAAGGACTAAGGCCAGTTATGGCTGCTATGTCGAATAGGGTGGGAGTCATCATTCCACAGGGTAAGTGGAAAGTGTTGTAAGTACTATCCCAAAAGTACAAGGAGGCCAACAGCATGTTTTGGCAATAACGGGGACCTTCTTTCGACAACTGGATTAAGTTATAAATTCCAGTTTTCTTCCAAAATTTTTCTTTGGCTTTTTCAACCCTAGTTAACCATGTTTGGTACTCAGAGGGATCCTTTGTCAGAGGGGGACTCCTAAAAATCCTATTTTGATTTAGATAAGACAGATCTATCTCTGTCGAAGCCATAGGGACTTCAGGTTCTTTTGATGAGGTTTCGACAGGTTTAGGGTTTTTATTAGCAGCTATGGGTTTGGAAGCAGAATAGCAAGGGTAAAATTCTTTTAAACGCTTAGGGTCCATAGTAGGATCAAAAATGGGGCCTAACATAGCATGATGGATTCCAGAAACAGAGATAGGAATTATTACCTGTGACCTGTAAATGCTTGCCTTTTCCCTTTCATTTGGGGGTTCTGGGAAGTACTGTTGATGCTGAGTTTGGGTAGGCCCAGATAATACGTGAGCAGGAGGAAGATCCTTGGTTTTCTTTGCCTTCTTTGCACTCTGTCCAGTGGTAGCCTTGGGAGGAGCCATTGATTTGTTGAAGATGGTGAAGAAACAAGAGCTCTGAAAGACCTGGAAATGGAGTTTTCACGCTTGGGTAAGAGAAGATTAGAGAGAATGGAAAGTGTGAGATGTTATTGAAGGTGGTATTTATAGAGTTTTGAAATAAATGAATAATAAAAAAAGAAAGAAAATGAAAAGACTTTTTCAGTTGGGAAAAGGGAAACATGCATGTTAATCCATTGGTGGAGATTGAAAGTGGCGGTTGGTAGTAAGCCATGATTTACCTACAATATAGGGTCATGGGAGATTGTGTGAAACGTGGGCTAGATGTGACGTTTCATAAAGTGGAAATCATTGTGTTTCCTTGGGACTCAATAAAAAAAAAAAAAAAGAGTCATTTCACAATGAATGCAACTGGAAGTCAAAGATCACTTCGACAGCAAAAGACATTTCTCCTTTGATAGTCGAAAATATCTTTGCTGGGGGGCAATTTGTAAACCCATAATTTCGACAAGACCATAATTTCGACAAGATTAAGATTCAGGCTTTAAGGTCATCTTTGTCGAAGGATAGCATCAGGAGAAGAATCCAAGAATTGCTGACAAGGTTTTAAAGTTTCATTGTTTCGACCAGAAATAGATATAATGTTCTGGCAGAATAGTTTGGAGAGTTTGTGACTAAGGGCTTCGACAGAAGAAGTTTGTTAATAAAAGATAAGGTTGGCAAGTGCTGAAGAGTTTTTTTTTTTTTTAAAAGGGTTTCGACAGTTTTGAAGAGTTACAGGGTTTCGTCACCAAGGAAGAGATTCAAATTTCAAAAGGTGGTAACCTTTGGCAGTTGGACACATGGAGGTTTCAGAGAAGAAATTTACATGCAGGCTGACACTTGTCGTTTAGTTATAGTTTTTCCGTTCTAAGCAGTTATTCTGTTTGTGTATAAATAGGATAGTTTGTGGTTAGAATGGGTGTGTGAAAATTTGTACAAAATTCCTGTAAAAACTCTAAGTACCCAGTGTGAGAGAAAATGAGTCTAGTATTTGGAACAATGTACGTTTAAACACCAGTTATATTTCAAAGTCATTTTAAATTACTTGTTTATTCTTCAAGTTCATTACTTGTTTATTCTTCAAGTTCATTACTTGTTTATTTTCAAAGTCATTTTACATTTCATTTACTTTTCTGCAAGTTTTAGCCTTTCGACATTTCTTTGTTCTTGTTTAAACTTTTAACCTTATTTCACCTTTAAGTCAAAACTTTCGTTACTTACAAAATCAAAGTCCTTAGTACTTTGACAACATTGATAAAACAAACCACAAATTAGTCACCAAAAGTCTAAGAGTATTTCGACAGAACCAAATGCACATGTATCCTAGGACTTGTATGGTTGGTCCTGCAAGTAACCCAATTTTTTGAAGAAATTGGTTAACCAGAGGTTGTTCGCCAGAAAACACAGCGAACAATTACGTTGTATGGTGGTTAGAGCTTATCAACGGAAGCGAGAAGTTCGTTATGATGGTGTTTTACGATAGTTTTAAGAGTCCTGCTCACGTGAGGTGGTGAGTCTGTGGATGGACGATGTGCTTACGTATAAGCTTCTAAGGGGTGTGATTAGTGTATGTTATGATCTAGCTAAGTGCCATGCTTAGGGTGTAATGATTTGTCCTTCCTCAAAGGAGATGTATTTATAGAGACCTTTTGGGCCTAGGGTTTGTGTAACCCTAAGTGGCGACAAGTACTCCCTCTTGATCAGAAAAGGTTATTGACCATCTAACCTTTCGAGAGTAAATGTGCACTTCCTCTCCCTTGACTATCGACTTTACACACATCATGGTTGTCAAAGTTGAGTCCTTAGATCATCGCCTAAGAGATACCACTCTAGGGCGAGGGCACCCTAATTTATGACGCTTACAAATATAACAATATAACTCTCGCCATTGAAAGTATGAGCTCTATTGTACATTTCCTTCGAATCGTCGTTACTCATATTCTCAATTAAAAGATAAATATTATCGATTTCAAGAGTTTAGCTAAAAGTTCCCAATATTTAACTTGTATAATTCTCAAATTGGAGCTAAGTATATTAATACTCAACATCAATGCATATGAAAATACAAAGAAAGAAAACATGTATAAACTAAATATGTGAAATCAGAAGAACAACCAGTGAACATCTTCACCAAAACACTTAAGTGATTGACTTTACTAAGTTAAGAGACTTTCTTAAAATAACAAAGAAAAGGTAACAATAGTCCAAATTAGATTAGTGGAGGAGCAAAATTGTCGTCATCACAAAATTATCCTCCATGGAATATTTCTCTTACCAACAAATCTCCATCTCCTCACCATTCATTCCCTTTTGTTTTCTCTATAAAACCTAACCCCACCCTGTTTTCTTACCTTCTTTGCATCATTGCAACAATATAAATCGCACCCTTTCCAAACAACCCTCCCCTATTCCCTTATCTTCTCCCCCAACCATTCATTTTCCACTATTTCTTTCTTCCCCTTCCAATAACCAGATCTAGGGTTTCATCGCATAGAACCTAATGCAAAACACTCCAATGTTTCCCAAATTCTCATGACACACCCCTCCCTCATGCGTCGAATTCGTCTCCTGCACTCTTTCTCCGTCGTTTTTCTCTACTGGTTCTACGTTTTCTCATGAACTCCCTCTCAAAACCTTAATCCTATCGCTCTCTTCCTAATCATTCATCATCATATTCATCAAAAACCTAGATCTGAAATTTACAATTCCGTTAGTTTTTTTTATAATAATTCTATCGTAAAATCGAATAAAAACAAGGTGAAATGGCTTCGATTCATCACGCGGCGAGTTCAGGATCTGACGGAACGATCGACGAGAGGAAAAGGAAGAGGATGATTTCGAATCGCGAATCCGCGAGACGATCGCGGATGAGGAAGCAGAAGCAGTTGGAGGATCTAAGCGATGAAGCGAACAAGTTACAAACCGAGAACAAGAAACTTGCGGAGGATATAAAAACTAAAGAAGAAGCGTGCATTGAAACCGAAGCCGCTAACGGCGTCCTCAGAGCTCGGACTACGGAGTTAACAGAACGGTTGCGATTTCTTAACTCGATTCTTGAAATCGCTGAAGAAGTTAGTGGATTATCGGTTGAGATCCCGGAGATTCCGGATCCGCTGCTTAAGCCGTGGCAAATTCCTCATCCGATTCAACGGATTATGGCGTCTGCAGATGTGTTCTTGCATTGATTGAACGAGCCTTTGTTGTTTTACCGTTAAGTTTTTTTTAGTTTGAGTTATTACTACCATTTTGTGGATAAATAATAATGGTAGAGTTGTAATGGTTGTTATTTTATTTGGTTGATGATGTAAAATATATCTACCTGGCATTGTTTATTTTGTATAACCATTTTTTTTATGTGATTGTGTGTTTTGTTTTAAAAGATAATTGGTTAATGATTCATCTTAAGCATTAACCAACCAATATTTTAAAAATTTGATAAGCCGAACTAAGGATGTTTGATTCGATTTGGGAGTAGGCGGAAAAAAAAATCTTAAGATTGATTGTACTTAAATGTATGAATTATAATTTTAAATTAAAACAATTTTTTTATGAAAAACACTTATATTGTAAAATTATACTGTTCTTTAAAAAATTGAATTAATTTAGTTTTTTAATTCAGTATGTTTTGATTCTATTATGAAATTTGTTATTTGTTGAGTTGAAAGTGATTAGTTCAATGAATTATTAATTTGAAAGTTTTACAATTCATCTTTGATATATTTAAATATTTTAAAAATGCAATTTCTGAAATACATCATAAGATAATGTATTTTGAAACCTCTATAGATAGTAAAGGTTTGTGTTATGACTATAGAGTGACATGTCCAACAATTTTATCGTCATTAAAAGTTTTTATTTCATAGTCTAAGTAGTTTTAGATGTTTTTTTATTTATTTTTAATTCATAGTCTAAATATTTGTTGTTAAAAATACATTATAACATTATTTATCTAAGGTTTCTATGTTGATATCTTTATTGTAAGCAATTTGTTTAAGAAAAGATAATATATTGTGTGACGATGAAGTATGAATTTTGACTAATAATTTGTTGCTGAAATTTGTGGAGCCAATATTTGGAGAAATCTGTGGCATAAGATTTTTGTCACTGCAAGTTGCCAACTGACAATATAAATTTTCCATCAACCCATAGACAACTTGTTCTTGTTTACAAATCTTTAAAACGTTTTTTTTTATCTTATCATTTTTGATGTTTTAGCTATGTTTGAAAATTGAGAATCAACTTTTAAGTTTTCTTGTTCAAGAATTTGAAAATAATTTGATTTGTGTGTCTGCAGTGTGCTATATTAAAAAAAAATATTCGGTTAAAAACAAAAAATTATCATTTTCTATTATTTTTGTGATAAAAAATATGAATAAATAGTCTTGTCAATTCGATTTCTAAAAATAATGATGATCTATTTTCTTTCTTTTATATATATATATATATATATATATATATATATATATATATATATATATATATATATATATATATATATATATATATATATATATATATATATATATATATATATATATATATATATATATATATATAATCGAATTTGATATTCTCCAAACCTTCGTTCTTTAGTTGAAATTTGTTTATCACTCGAGTCAAGTGTTTGGTTATCAGATCTTAGAACACGTTTCATTAATTAAAAAAAACTATTTAAAACACAGACAAGAGACAACCTGTAATCGATTGTCATAAGGACGTAATCGATTACCATATTTTAGAATGCAACTTTTCATTAATTTGTGTCATCGAAATGTTGTTTAATGGTTTATGATGTCTTTCTAAAGAATTCTATTGTGTTCATGGTGTTTTCTATGTGCATCTAAATTTTGGTTTACATTGAATAACCTCTCAAATCAAATTTTATAATTTAAATATCATTTTCAATTGGCTTTCACATTTCTAATTTTTGAAACTTTCTTAAACTTTTGAAAAACTAGAAAAAATTCTCAACGTTAAAAATTTTCAAGCATTAAAGTGATATTTATTTGAAAGGTGTTATTGATGTGATAAGTATACAACCTATAAAATTTTGCTGCTTCTCAATGAAATTGAGTGTTACTTGTTTCATCATATGTAAATAGAAAAGGATGTACTTTTTTGAATAAATATTAAAAATTAATTTGAGAGGAGTTTTTTGTGAGACTTGTAATTGAATTTTTAGATATATTGTGGAAAATCCTCAAAAAAATATAGAGATTAGACTAACGTTCATTTGGAGAAAATGAATCAGAATAGATTATATTTGTGTTTTTCTCTTCCGTTAACTTTTAACTTTTATAATCCACATTTTAAATTTTTTGGACATTATCTTTTTTCTTCTGATAGTGTTGAAATTCTATCAAAATTTAGAATGTAACTTCATACCTAGTACTAATGTTGATGGTGTATAACAATCCAAGTCTAAAGATGCATGAAAGGGTGATGATAAAAAGAAAGTTCATTATTAAAAAAGACTAAGAATATTCTAATGTCAGCTTTAAGAATGAATGAGTTTTTTAGAGTATTAAATTGTAAAATTGTTATAAAAAAATAGAAAATCTTAAAAATAACATAGGAAGGAATAAAAGAAGTAAAAAGATTTATATTAAACATTCTTTTTCAAAAGTACAAAATATTTAGAATGTTATCAGAAGAAAAATTCTAAATTTACAAACAAAAAAAAAGTTTACCCACTTAACAAATCATTTAAATACTCTTGAAAATGTCTTTACTAACAATAATTTGAATTTAAAAGATCTTATACCACTAACAAACAAGAGCATGACAATAATGGTGATTTTCATTTCAAAAAAAAAAATCTATCAAAAATGACATTGACTTTACTATTTGAAAATCTACGAGAACATTGGCTTCACTATTTTGCAACAATCTGTTTAGTCTGTTTTTTATATACATGGGTGGTTCAAATTGATAGGTTCGTGATATCATGATAGAATTAAAGTTTGATTTAACTCAATTCTATAAAATTGATTGATAAGGTGAGAGGTGTTATTTTATATAAATTTTTTATAGATTGTATATTTAATCAATGTAAAACTTAGATTTTTTTCAAATGGAATAAACTAAAGTCAAAAATATGTTAGAGTCAACTTTAAAGAGACATGTAATCTATTTTTGATAAATCCAATTAATAATTAAGTATTGTCTTTCTCTTATAGATGTAACTTTAAAGAGACATGTAATCTATTTTTGATAAATCCAATTAATAATTAAGTATTGTCTTTCTCTTATAGATGTAACTTTAAAGAGACATGTAATCTATTTTTGATAAATCCAATTAATAATTAAGTATTGTCTTTCTCTTATAGATGTAAATTTCTTTTGTGTTCAATCCAATGTATATTGGAAGTCATTTAATTACATCTCTCACCCTAAAAACACACATACAGATTTTTGAAGATTGTAGAGACTTTGAGATTTCCTTCAACAACTTATTGCAAATATATATATATATATATATATATATATATATATATATATATATATATATATATATATATATATATATATATATATATATATATATATATATATATATATATATATATATATATATATATATATATATATATATATATATATATATATATATATATATATATATATATATATATATATATATATATATATATATATATATATATATATATATATATATATTACCCAGTTTTTACCTTCACAATCATTCTTCTTGTTTTGCATTATCTTTCAAAAATAAGATTTTATATTGTACACCTATCATTTTGTAATCTTCAATTTTTTTTCATATATTCACTTGGCTTAATCATGACTATGTTAGCTTTTATATGCATAATTGATCGAAAACTCGAATAAAAGAGTAGGCGTCCATGGAACTCAACGTTTTGTAACTCGAAAATTCATCAATTAATTACGTGATATATGTTGTTCTGGGGGAGTCAACACTAATTTCACGTCTGAATTGTCATACTGAAATGTAATGACCATGGGATAATTGTTCTGAGGGAGAACATTGACTGCGTCTGCCCTTAAATAAGTAATTTTGGCAGCTTTAACGAGTGTGATATTTGCTATTATCATATGTCGAACATACCTTTTCCAAGAGGAGCTAGGTTCTCCACCCTCCCGCCTCCCCTCACGCGATGGTGTTGACACTCTTCTCAAAACTTTGCACAAACTTCCTCGTGAGAATATGGTGAAAGCAATAATGATTAAAAATAAGTGTGATTTAAATCAATTTTACTAGGATCTAGGGTGGACATCAATTGTATTTGTTAAAAATAGAAATGTGTGACAATTCTTTACAATTAAAAACTGTTAGACTTTAAGATTTATTGTACAATAGAGTTAGCTCATGTAGAAGTGAGAAGCTTTGCATCAATAATTTTTTGTATTAGTTATAATCTCCCTCTACTATGACTCTGAGGTATTTATTGCTACATCGATCCTAATCCAAGTCATAGTGACAAGTTCAAACCCTACTTAAACTTGTTATATATATCTCAGGGTTAAACGCTCTTAAGCTCGAGTATAGCTTTTTCCGCGTATTGGAATAATTCATCAATAAGAATTTGATACTCACCAAGATAGAAGGTATTGGGTATGGTCCGTAGAAATTGTCAAGAGGGAGAGGCAGGAGACCCTCGCACCTACTTGAGTTTGGCCGGAACATGTTTTCTACCCAACTGTAGTGTGTTTTCTCTGAACCTTTTTTTTCCCGAAAACTTTATCAAAATTTGTTAAACAAAATATAAACATAAATGTGTATATCTTCAACAGCACATAAGGTGTTTGGAGTCTCTATAAGCCACGACACTATATTGTTCTTACTAGATCCAATCCCCTTATCATAACAAAGTTCATAAAAATCAAGTAAAAGCACTGTTGCAGAAATCTTTCAATTTAAATTACATTTATCTTCTAAGATGCTATATAATCTATGATGCTAACATAAACATGCATAAAACACACACAATTCAAGTACAATACTACTCAAATCTCATCATGTTCATCATACTCATCATATAAAGCAACAGTTTCACTTTTACACTCTCAGTTATCATAAGTTTTGCACTCATCAGTCTCCGGATTATCCTTACAGTAATCCTCCAACGGGTCAGACTCCTTCTTCCTATCCCTTGCATGGCTCGCCGCCGCGCTGAGCTCCTCCACCTCATCCCACGCCGCCACGCATTCTCCACTAACAGGATCATCAGCACACGTCTCCTGCGCTGTCTTTATGCTCTCCTCCACCTTCTTCGATATTTGTTCTGGTGCGGCATGGACAGGTCGAACTATCTTCATCCGTCCCGATCCGGTTAAGGTTTGGCGTGTCGAGAGTGACGACGGTGATGAGAACTTGATGGTTTGTGGAAATCCCGGTGAGTTGAGGAGAAGCCTAGGGTTTGAGAGACTCAGACCACTTATTGTTGCCATTTTTTCTTCTTCCCTAGTTATGGCGATGCTTGTTTCGTTTTTCTGTGTTGATATCTATGGAGTTAGATAAGAATCAGAGACTGAGTGAAGAGATTTTATTTCTATACATATACTTGCCTTGTTAAGGATTTTTGTTCACATATTTCTTATCGGGTTGCAACCAATTGTTATCGTACACGTGTGTTCTTATTAGATAATTTGTCACAAACAATATACGTAGTGTATTTCAAGATAAAAAACTATATAAATATAGAGGAATGCAATTCCAACACCAAAAAGCATACACCCAATACCTACACCCTCTAAAATACATTTATGGCATATGCTTATTTGTAGGTTTAATTAGTGCTGAATTTCTTTAATTTAATTTTAAATTTTATTTTACTTTTTTATTTAATAAATATTTTATATTAGAACAACTTTAGTGCATGGTTGTTAAACATAAATTTTGTATAGCTTACGTTAGTAATAAAGAATTTGCATCATAGTAGAGCTGACATGACATCTAAGTGAACTAAAATTTAGTTCTCATTATCTATATAGTTAACGTTAACTATATAAAATATATTATAATATTATTTATTTAATTAATAAAATATTTCAACAGTATTAAAGTAATGATATGATATTTGAAAATAGTAACGGTCCTATTATCATTTTTTACCTTCTATAAATTCTGTAGAAATTTTAATTTTTTTTACACACAATTTTACTTCTAAATTTTTTTCTTTCCATTTTCAATCTTATTTATTTATCAAATGGATCTCAACGAATAAAATCCTTATTATAATTATTTACAAACTCCCAGTGACAAAATATTGATGTGAATTTTGTATCATTTTTAATTTTATAATAAAATATATTTAATATTATTTTTAAGTTTTTAAGGTAAATTTTATTAAAAAAATTGTATGCATTTTAATTAAAATAATTAAATTAATGGTAACTTGAATAAAAAATATAAAATGTGAGGTCAAATTTTAGTTTCTTAGATAACCATCATTAAAGTAAAAACTAGTCAAATCAACTATAAATTTTTTAAATCCTACAAAACACTTTGGACCCACAAAAAATATCTTAGTTTATCCATTTAGTTTACTCCCATTAAAGATGCTCTTAGTCTTTTAAAAACAGTTCCGTTAGTTAAATTGGTTTTTATGGTTCAATTTTAAAAAAAAAACGTTAACTTTGTTTACATGAGAACAAGACATTTTTAATAAGTTGAGTCAGCATTTGTATTAAAAAAATAATATTTTATTTAAACTTAAGAGGTTTTGTTTTTTTAGTAAAGAGTGACACAACAACACAACATAAAAAATAAAATTTGGAAGTGTGAAAAATCAACGATCAACTAACACGAATTTGTGTAATATTGTTATTTACACTATACAAACTAGGAATTAAGAAAACAACTTAAATCTATTGTTAATGATGAATTTGCAGCACAAATGATCATGGATATCCTGAGCAATTTCAGAACTCTTCCGCTCAAGAAAACGTTCATGAAACTTGACATTATGTTGGTAGTTTTTCCTTTCATCATTTTGCAGAGCTGTAAGAAAAGATTGTGCAACCTGAAAACAAAAGAGAAATTATAAAATTTATGATTTTTCACTTCCATGAAATAGTATGTACCTTATATGAACACCACTTTCACCATATACTTGGCACAACTCTTCCTTAACTTCCATCTCTAGCTACAACATTTTAAGTGAAAAAGAAATCAAGAGATGTATATCGAAGCTCCCCATTCTCACCTCTGAAAATTCCTAAATTAGTCATAAACAATAAGAGTAACAAAACATAACCCTAAAAAAAAATTAATTCACACATCATACTCAAACAAAACAAACAATAGAATTTAAGTGAAAAAGAAATCAAGAGATGTAAATTAAAGATATTAAATGATGATCTAGAATGTAGGTGGCTACTTTAACATGTTCTATCAAAAAACAAAACACCTCCAATTTATGCTATAAATTTATAAGAGAAAAAAAATAAAAGAAGAAACAATGCAATGATGGAGAAGAAAAAGAAAGAAATCCACAATGGATACTAGTATCAGAAGCTGTCAACGTTTTACAAAACGAATGAACATGAAACTGCGGAGGAGGATCAGAAGGAGCTTCTTTCTCAATCGCATTCTCATCTTGCTATAATATCATTCAGATCCATAATCTAAAACAACACATAAAAAACATAAGAATATGTAGTGTTTGTTATTCCAAACCAAAAAAACTTATGAGAGTTAATAGATCTTGCTATAATATCATTTAGTAAGATATATTATATTTCATTCAAGATTACTTTATTTTCCCCAAACATTAGTTTTTCCACTGTATTTGAATGAAGGAATATTCGTTATTAAAATTTTACTTGGTGAATATTCCTGATTAATGTTGCTTTTATAGGACTTCATCATATTTAGATTCATTTCTAGATCCTGCCTTCATGTCTTTGATTAAAGACCCTGATGAAAGACGTCTGGAACAGTGGGAGGAAACTGTTCAAGCACAACGAGGCTGGAATTTTGCCAAATTTCTTGGATTCGGTGACCTAGGTGGACCACCATTTTCTGCAGCTGAAGAATATTCTCTGCACTCTAGATATCTCTCTAAAGCAAAATTCTTAAATCTATCTGAAATTGCAGAGATGAAAATTGTGTAAGGGTCCTATTTCGTCGCCTTTGTTTTGTATACTTTGATTACTTTTAGCTCCATAATTACTTGAGATATTTTCTTACTTCATTGTATGAGTTTCGATTCTGCATCAAACTACCTCCTCCATCTTGCCTTCAACGATAATGACATTGGCATCACCGCAACGCAATGTTCAGCTACCGATTAACAGCTCACACTTTTTGGTAACATTTCGAACCGAGAACGTCGTTACAAGTTTGAACCATTTTATGTTGTGACTCGATGTTGTTTACTGTCTATAGCCTACTTCTTCGTTTGCTTTATACATTGTCTGTTTTTTTTTGTTAAAAATCAATGGTTGATGTGTATTAAGAGCAATGTTGGAATGATACAATATATAGCACAACCAGTTATGCTGACTATGTTTTCAGCTCAATATATCTCCTGTTATCCGGCATATATATTCATTTTTCTGCTTTGCAAAACTACAAAGTTGCCGGTAATTACGCGTTGATTCGGTTTTTCGCGTGAATGGAGTTTGGTCTTTGGCTTACTGCATGTTTAGTATACAGGGAATCAATTGTATTTCTATTTTGATTTAGTTGAAAATTCTATGATTATTATGTGTGTAATACTGATTATGTGTTGAGTTATGCTTATGCATCCTCTACCGTGTCGGTTTTGTTTTTCTGATTGAAAGATTTAGTTCAAGTTACAGGGTGCATTTTAGTGTAGGGTTGTTTCTTTCCCCGATTTTATGACAGTAAATTGTTATGTGTACTGAAACAAACATTGTTAGATCGGTGGTGTCGCCGCAGTTTGTATTTAAACAATAAAATTATATTTTGGACTTTTAGGCTCTCGCGGCAAAGAAGAAATTCATAGGAATAACGAGGGGGGCAGTATATGGAATGATATGCTACCACAACAAATGTTCTTGCTTCCAAAGATGTTGTTTCACGATCGATGACTATGGAGATTCGGGAAGGTCGTGGTGTAGGTAAGCTAGCTTTTTCATTGATATATCCAATGTATTTATAAAAAGTTTTCAAAAAGTCAGGACGCCACTGATTGTTGGTAATTGTAGCAAAAATGATTAATGGTAGCCCGGGGTTTAAGCTATGTAAATTGTTTGTCAGGTTTTATTTTCAAGAGATTTTGGAATTTCCTATAAATGAATGTATTTTCTAATCTTGAAGAGACCAACTATTGGATGCGCAGACGGTCAGAAGTAAATGTTTAAATTTGTGTGCCTTATCTTGCAGACAGGCAAAAGTTCTGGAGATGCTGGTGGTGTTGCTGACAGGGTTTTGAATCAACTGCTTACAGAAATGGATGGAATGTCGGCAAAGAAAACTGTTGTTTCTGTCGTGAAAAGGTTTTCGTCAATTTGATCTTGCTGCCTTTGTGTATATGTGTTGCAACAATGATTACGGTCATCAAAGTGTAAATTATAGAATTCTGCATAATGGTCTGTCATTTGAAGCAATGTTCCGGTTAATGCCAATGGGCCAATGTTCCAGTTATTGCCAATGTTCCAGTCATTTGAAGCTATTGTCAATGTTCCAGTCATTTGAAGCTGTCATTTGAAACTATTAATGTGAATTCTTTCCCTTTATCTACTGAAATTTATATATATGAAACGTCCTCCGGCAGAATTAAATATGACCAATATTTATGTTATTTTGTATGTATATACTGTATTAGTTATTAATTGATCATGCATAGTATATATACTTGGTAGCACTTGGCATCATGCTTAGTATGTATATATTGTGTTAGTTATTAATTGAGCGATAAGTCATATAATATTCATCTAAAGATATTTTAAGTTTGTGGGAAGTCTAAAGATATTTTAAGTTTGGAAAGAAATCATCACAAATCACATACAATTCTTCAAAGTTTTATGTATCTATATTATTGATATTTTTGTTTATCTTTCATTTTCTACATATATTATCACTTCAACTTAATTTTACTATTATTCTTAAGTTTTATTCATATTATTATTCTTAAATTTACTATTATTATTTAGTTTCATTTGCTTTTGGTCTACCTATTGATTAATATTTTTTGTTTAATATTTTCAATCATTATTACATTATTTGAATTTATATCAATAATTAATTTAGTTTCTTCTTTTACAACACACAACATTTTCTTATACTTACCAATTCAATTTTTTAATTTCAATCATATCATTTTTATAATTTTACTATTGTTCTTTTCAATTTGATTAATAATTATACATCTATAATATAAAATTCTCGAACAGACAGACCCGTGCGAACGCACGGGTTAGTTACTAGTTTATGCTATAAATTTATAAGAGAAAAAAAATAAAAGAAGAAACAATGCAATGATGGAGAAGAAAAAGAAAGAAATCCACAAAATGGATACTAATATCAGAAGCTGTCAACGTTTTACAAAACGAATGAACATGAAACTGCGGAGGAGGATCAAAAGGAGCTTCTTTCTCAATCGCATTCTCATCTTGCTATAAAATCATTCAGATCCACAATCTAAAACAACACATAAAAAACATAAGAATATGTAGTGTTTGTTATTCCAAACCAAAAAAACTTATGAGAGTTAATAGATCTGAAGGGAATGGATTTAATGGTCGAAAAAAGGATTAGAAAGAGATAGGAAGAAGAGAGTAAGAGAGGTGACGACTAGAGTTAGGAGAAGTGAGAAAGATACTGTGGATAATAATGTTTAATAAATTATAAATAATAAAATATTAATAAAATAATTTCAAGTCAGCCAAGTAAATGTCAGTCAAGGTAACACGTATGCCCACTTTAACAAATATTAATAAAATTTAACAAAAATGACTAATGTGATTAACAGAACTTGATTTAAAGGACTTAAAACGAACATTTATTAAATAAGAAACGGAAATAAAACCTAAAATTAAATTAAGAGACCAAAAAATGCATTAAACCTTATTTGTATTAGAAAAATAAAAAATAATTATTAAGTATAATAAAAAAAACAAAATCATATCAAAAGACGTGTAAGTTGTAACATATAGTGTAAACATATCATTTCTCATAAATATAATCATTGATTCTATAAACATTTCTAAGTGGCATCATTAAGTTAAGTATTTAGTAAAAATGTATAAATATATTATAGATGATGAGTTTGATTTGTAAAATAATAACTATGGCACATAACAATATCAACATAATATAATAATGTTAAACAATAGATACTTTTTTATATTCTAATGTGTTTTTAATGGTCGATACATTAAATAAATATTTTAGTCTACTTTGCTTGTTATATGTATCATCTAACAAAATATTTAATTTTATTATCATATTATTTATTCATATTAATTCGATCTATGTTAATGTTGTTATGCATAGTCAGACTCAAGTCTTGGTAAAAGGAGAAGGTTGTGTTAAAAAGATGACAACCAACGTAAAATTTTATTGAATCTTTATGACATAGATCAACTACAGAATAATGTGAATGATAGGTTGTTGTCTGTAAGCAACACATTGTATGCTGTGAGTATAGTGTCAAAAGAGCAAGGGTCAATCCATAGTTGTCTGAATATAGTTAAAAATAAGCAAGGTTCCCACATCTTCGTGAATGGGTGTGGGTAAAGAAGTTAGTTCATGAGAGTAGGATTTTTTTTGGATCATGAAATATATGCACACTTATTGGAAAATCTAAGGAAATAGTTGACATTATGGTTAGGAGGAATATCAATTTTATGTGCCTACAAGAAACTAAGTGTAGAGGTGAAAAAGCAAAAAAAAAAAATAGACAGCTCGAGATTTAAGCTTTGGTATATCGAAAAAGTTAGATCAAGAAATAGGGTGGGGATTATTGTGGATAAAGAATGGAAGAAAGATACGGTGGATGTGAAAAAAGTAGGATATCGAATCATAGCCTTGAAATTTATAGAGGAACAAGACACCTTTAATGTTATTAGTGCTTACGCACCATAAGTTAGGTTAGTATAACACCTTAAGGTAAAATTTTGAGAGGATTTAAAAGGCTTACTTAAGGATATATCTCAAGGAGATAAGATTTTTCTAGGAGAGATCTAAATGGACATGTAGGTGGTGTAACAAGAGGTTTTTAGAGCATGCACAGGGGTATGGTCTAGAGGAGGTAAATGTCGATGGTAAATTCATCTAGGAGTATTCGTCTGCTTTGGGTCTTACTATAGCAAATACCTAGTTTATGAAAAGAGATAAGCATCTTATTACATATAATAGTAGGGTGACATATTCTCATATAGATTTCTTTCTTATTAGATCAGAGAACATACCTATTTAAGTATGGAAAATTCCTGAAGATACAGGTATTGAGTGGCTCACCAGACTCTTTGATGAAATTATGAGCTCAAAGTAAATGTTGGGTGAATGGAGATATGGGAAAGATTGATTGAAAAAAGACTAAGAAACGAGACTTAAGTCACTGAGAATAAATTTGTTTTTATGCCTGGAAGCTAGACAATGGAAGCGATCTATCTAGTACTAGGCGTGATGGAGCAGTATTGAATGGACCAACAAGATTTGCACTTAATTTTTATTGACTTGGAGAATGCATATGATATAGTTTCTAGAGAGATTTTATTGAAAAACCTAGAGAAGAAAGAGGTTAGGATTGCATATATTTGAGTTATCCAATATATGTATGAAGGGATATCTACTAGTGTATGCACATAAGGTGTAGAGACCGAGAATTTCCCCCATTACAATAGGTTTGCATCAATGTTCAACTCTAAGGCCCTATTTTTTTACCTTAATTTTGGATGTACTCATGGAACACATCTAAAAGATAGCACGAAGATGAATGTTTTTTGAAACTAACATAGTTTTACTTGGGGAGTCGAAAGAGGACTTAAATGAGATGTTGGAGATATGGAGAGAAGAGAGAAGCTTTAGAAACACATGGTTGTTGCCTAAGCAGAAGTAAGACGGGGTATCTGGAATGTAAGTTCTGGAGACCATATCACCCTTCAAGTCACACATTTTAATTTTTTGGGTCTGTAATACAAAA